GTTGTCCACATCTATCTATCTATCTATATATATATATATATATTATCAAGCTTATATGTTATATATATATATATATATATATACACACACACACACACATATATATATATATATATATATATATATATATATATATATATTTATCAAGCTTATGGCGTTATTTTTGGATTGTTAGACTCATTCACTTTTTCTGAGCGAATATTGCATTAATTATGATTTCCCACGGTGCAAATTGTACTATTTAACTTATATATGGGGGAGAATGGTGGATTATTACCTTTCCCCGCTATATTTAGGAGTAAGAGAATATAATTATCTCAACTAGAATTCGAACCCAAACTCTCGGATTAATCATCACGAGCAGCAATCCATTCAGCCCACAGCACATCGACATTTTCGCAAAGTTGAACGCATTTGAATTGTTAGTAAATTTCTACAGTACATATGTCTTAATGTCGAAATTAATACATCATATGTTGTATAAAGATCTTAAAACTGTATTAAATTTCAATCACTCCATTTCAAGTATGATAAAAACAGGTGACACACACCGTTTCACTGCTGTCACATGAGCAGAATATATATATATATATATATATATATATATATATATATATATATATTATTTTTCTTTACCGGTCAGTCTGCATTTAATGTCATTAAAAGAGTGAGTACAATTTTGGGACATCCGTTTATAACTGAATGTTCGCACACTGTTTACTTGTCAATCTCTCCTCTCTCGATATATATAGACACACGAATATATATATATATATATATATATATATATATATATATATATATTTATTTTTAAAATATGATTCCTAACGAGTTCTTTCCTATTTTCTATATATTTTCACACACACACACACACACACACACACACACACACACACATATATATATATATATATATATATTACCAATTTGTGATTGGTAGGGATAATTCTAAGGAGGATATTAATCCAGGAGAGCTCAGTGCAAACTGATGAGTATTATCAGATTTACTAAAAATTTCAATCTGAAGAGTTGAATATATAATGATATTCACCAAAACATATAACCGAAATGAATCTATATATATATATATATATATATATATATATATATATATATATATATATATATATATATGTGTGTGTGTGTGTGTGTGGATGTTATTAAAAGTCTCCTTAACCTTGATAACCTTGTAAATTTTATATTTATTTACCAAATGAAATCATATTTTTATGTGACAATATATTATTAAGAAATTTTATTCGTCAAATTATGGAAGATGATGTCATGTAATTTTTCCTAGGTTGTTTATTTCACAAGTTAATCTTTTCTAACAATTGTTGCGTAACTTTTGAAACCTCCGTATATATATATATATATATATATATATATATATATATATATATATATATATATTTCCATCAATAAGAACATTACTTGCCGAAGAAATCCTTAGTTCTTTTGATTAAGCGTCTTACATAGGAATTTCCCATTTTGTCAATTACCTGACATTGTTAATAAACATATTTTTACTCAAGCACGTATATATATATATATATATATATATATATATATATATATATATATATATAAACAGTGAACATTGACGTCAATACTCAGAGGCGACACACTATTTCATGTTAGTTACAATCGTCAGGCGGCCTGACGATTGCGTCTAACATGAAAAAGCCTGTCGCCTATAAGTGTTGAGTTCAATGTACACTTGTATATTTACATACGATATATCTCTGATATTGAGCACCTTATCCCATAAATATAGCACATCTTAAAACTATATTTCTTCATATATACCTATATATATATATATATATATTTATACATATATATATATGTATATATATATATAAATATATATATATATATATATATATATATATATATATATATATATATATATATATATATATATATATATATATATATATATAATTCGTTTTTTATTTTGTTTGAATACAAAATAAGTACGTTTAGGTACAATGGTTATAAATATGAAATTTTGTTGTGGATTGTTTTAAAACATTCATTTTTGTCTTCATCAACAACGTCAGATCTAGTATTCGCTATGTAGCATCCTCACCTGCCATATATCATATCAGAGTGCTATCCCATCAATAACCCGATATATCATGTCGCATCAGCAGAAAACGTGAGCCGGAGAAGGCGTAATGAGCCACTCTCCTGAAGGCTGGCATTAGCCATGCTGATGGAAAGCAGAAATGTTTCTCTCAGGCGATTAATAAAGAGCAATTTCGCTTTGGAAGCGTTAAAATTAACAAACTATTCTGGGTTTCAGTTAACGAACGAATATAGATCATTTTTTTTAGATCAGCTGACCTAATCGAACCGACTCGTCTTTATATTAAGACAGGTGTTGATATACATGTTTATGTTATTATAGACTGTTAGTTTTTTGTATCTTTCAAGTCCATTTTGTCCCATCACATCACGTTTTCTCAGTTCAGATAATTTCTATTTTGCTTAAAATAGGCCAAAATGCCCAATTCACTAATTCATATGTCACGGCTTGAATATCCAAGTGGCATAGTTGAAACATTTCGTTTCATGTTAAAATTATTTATCATTCAAAAACAAAGTATCTAAATAACTTTCAAAATGAATTCTACGCTATTTCAGTTCAGATAAGCTGACCTGAAAATGCTTGATTTTATGAGAGATATCTCACTGGAAAATGTTCTTGTGCCCTCAATGCTCTTAGCTTGTTAAAACTTCGTGATTTGTGTTTCTTCTCTACTTTTCATAGAAGAAGATCTTTAGAAGTCATTCAAGAACAGCGAATTTTCACTTTAAGCCTGAAATCGTCATAAAATTTTATAATATCACTTGAATTTACGGAGGTTTAGTATTGTCATGCAGCCTGTGTATAACATGCATCGGAACATCGATAAATGAGGGTTGTTAGGGTGTATTTGAAACTAGCAAGATTAGAATTTTCTTTATCGGTGCTTAAAGTAGCCGCCAAACACCAGATAGGCATGGCTAACTAGGCACTTTTCGTATCCATCCCCAATAGCACCAGCATCTTGTCTGACTATGTCCTTTAAACTACTTGGGTGCAACATGAATATCAAGATTCATTTTCTGTTTAGTCACCACGATCAGTTTCCTAATAATCTTGATGAGTATAGTGATAAACAGAGAGAGAGGTTTCATCAAGATTTGAAGATAATGGAAGAAAGATACAAAAACAGATGGAATATTAACATGATGGCTGATTTCTGCTGGAACATCAAACGAGATCAAACTTTTCAAAAACACAGTAGAGTTTCCAAGAAGAGAATATTTATACATTTGGATGGACAAAAATGTATTTTTCATTCCTTTGTATCTTCTTTGTTTTGATTCAAAAAATAATGACACATGTTTGCTTTAGTTTAATTTTGTGTGAGATTTTTCTGAAAAATTCTTTCTGAACTGAAAATGCCTTCTTTAACTTATTGGGGTACTTTTTAGCTTATGATAAGTTATTCTAATCTGAAAACGTTTAAGATTTGTTCTGCTTGTCACTGTTAAATGGGTATTCTGGCCTATTTTAAGAAAAATAGAAATTGCCTGTACTGGGAAATCGTGATGTGATGGGGTAAAATGAACTTGATTTTCAGATTTAGCGTGAAAAAATAGCCCAGAAACATGTGTCCATTGCCCAACAATATTGGGGTAAAAAAAAAAAAAATGTCGACCGGTGTTATTTATGGTGTCAAGTGAATAGGTCGCACATCTGATTTTCATCGAAATTATGGTGGAAAAAATGCGACTTATTCTCGACTATATACGGTATCCCATTGATTGTTTAATATCTGAAATGACCTATGTTATATGCGAAAAGATTTGATGTGTCAACCTCAAGCGTATCGTATGACATAAATCAACACCCCTCCTTCCAGAGCGGTCTATGAAGGCCTTTGTCATTGCAAGATAACATGAACGCATTGTGTTTAATGCTATGTAAGACACCTTTCTAGCTTATAAAGAATGTAACAATATTAGGGTATTCGGCTTCGTACAAGTGTTGGTTGTCTAACGGCATCTGAGTAGACATTAGCCTCCCAGCTACCTCAACCTTGAATATAACCCAGCTTTATTTACATTTTATATTATAGTATTAGGGTGTTAGGTTTTATACAATTACTGGTAGTTTATATCGTCTACGTAAACAGCTTTCAAACTGTCGAATATTCAAGTAGACGAAATAAAATATTTATAAGCAGTGTGTGTGTGTGTGTGTGTGTGTGTGTGTGTGTGTGTGTGTAAATAAATTACAAATATTATATTTGCTTATTTTTATCATAATCCGTTCTTATTCACGGATATTTTTCCGTGTATGACATTCAAATGATGCAAGAAATGCATTGTGACAGTGAAGATTACTTTTATGTTCCAAGTACTTTCCATCTGATTCTGAGATCATCATCAGGGGTGCGCGAATCGGTCAAAATGAGGTTTTGAAGTTCCAAGGAATCAGCACATATGCTAGGCCACAAAAAGCTCCTGAGCCGACCAAGCATAGAGATGAATACAATATGGGAACCAGTAATATGGAGTGCTAGAGAAAAGCAATAATAACAACGAAAATTGCAATATGAGCTCATGGTAAAAAAAATGCAATGATAACAGCAAAAATTGCAATATGAGAACTGGTAAAAAATGGTTGCTGAAGACATTAAGTTTATAAGTTCAAGAAATTCATACACAGATGTCCTTAAGGATGGCGCAGTGGATAAAGGGGTTGGTTAGATCCAGTGACAGTGTGAGTTCAATACCTGGTCAAGGCAGAATTAACAGGCGATAACGGATAACTGACATTCATTATACATGGCACGTAGAACTAGAAAAGGGTTCAGACATTCCAACCACCTGAAGAAGGCCGAAACGTTGTAATAAATATAATGTAATAAATAGACCGAATACTGTAAATAGATGTGCCATGTGCCGCCATGTTGTGAGAGAGGGCAGTGGAGAACATT